CCCTAGCCTAATGCTTAAAAGTGCAAAATACGCAGTGCGGTTACTTTTCTCCCCATTTTCATAATAGTACGACCGTTGCCAAAAATAGTTAAATGGAATAGGGAGCCTGAAGAAAGTTGGCGTAGAGCGAACCGCGCTCTTCGAAAAAAATGTATGAATAACTTTTTCATTTTTATTTCTACGAGAGACCCGGTCGTTTTTTTTTCTTTTACTGTTCTCAGATATCCTCGAACAGTTAAGGGAAGTGGAAGAAGGTCCGTCTTGAATTCATGATTGTTTTGGATTTGATGTTTTCAGATGAGCCTTGTCCAATCAAACGATTCAAACCTATAGAATCCGATATCCCGGAGACTCCCGAACAGAACACTATCGACAGGATCGAATTCAATAAACTAACAAATGAAGAACTAAACCTAGGTTTTCTTATTCTGTACCTCTTCTGTTGACTTGTAACATTTATAAAAGATAAAATGTGTATGAGATATACTTAGAAGATGGGTTCACATGATTTGCAAAGGCAGTATCGAATTCAATAAACTAACAAACAAAATATGCAGTGCGGTTACTTTTCTCCCCATTTTCATAATAGTACGACCGTTGCCTTAGTTAAATTGAATAAAGAGCCTGATAAAAGTTGGCGTAGAACCAACCGCGCTCTTCGGAAAAAATGTATGAATAACTTTTTCATTTTTACTTTTTCGAGGAAGTGATTCGGTCGATTTTTTCAACGAACAAAAACAAACAAATTTCTAACAAATGAAGGAGTAAACCTAGGTACTCTTATTCTGTACCTCTTCTGTAGACTTGGGACATTTATAAAAGATAAAATTAAGTGAGATATAGTTCTAAAATGGGTTCGTAGCCCATTTCATATCTTTCCATTCTGATTTCCATTCTTACTGTTTTGTTCATTGCTGTATTCAGAAATGCTACGCAGAGCTTTTCTTCGGAACCGGTGGAACTTCCGACATGCTTTCCAGGGTTCTTCAAGAAAAGAACTTGAATGTGAATTGATTCGAAAAGTATTTTTGAAACTATTGGAGGATCAAAACAAAAAAGCTCTGGAAAATCTAAAAAAGTAAGTATTTATCAGTAACTGGGTGTCGTTACTTNAAAAAAGTAAGTATTTATCAGTAACTGGGTGTCGTTACTTCTTTAATTCAGAATTGAATCAGAATATCGACAGAAGGCTGTTTTACTGAATACGAAAGTTGATGCGATCCATGATAACTTCGCATGTTTGTTTAAAACTCTGCTCGTGCGAACCTTGATAATTGCAGTACCTGTCATCACTATTTATGCTTATGATTTATATTATTATGAGCAATTCATTGAAAATAAAGAATGAAGATGGTAGTTTTATAATTTTTTCTTCCCCAATATCAGGGCCAAAAAAACAGAGAAAAGCAATTGAATACAAAGTTACAGTCATGACAATAGCCAAAAGCAATAGCCAAATGCTTTGCCAAAAGCTCTGGAAAATCTAAAAAAGTAAGTATTTATCAGTAACTGGGTGTCGTTACTT